AACCAATGGAATTATCATCAACACAGATTATTAGCAAACAAATCCTCACTATGCACTGCTGTTACCTTCAAGCTATAGTAACAACTTACAGCTTGGGTCCGTATCGTCAGTCGTCCCTACAATTGTAGGGCGCGTTTATGGCCTCCTTGATTGTCATACTCCTTTCTCTCCTTCAAAAATTTCTAGATTACACTTGTCCCGTGTCAGCGTCAGCGCTATCCTATGTGAAGATATTTTCTTTTTAAATGTGTAGGAAATTCAGGCTGATAAAACATGATATAACTCAAAAGCAAATTTGATGCAATAGATGTTTGTGACATAACCTCAAAATAGAGTTCTGACACGGAGAAGCCGAAAAATATGACAATCAAGGAGGTCATAAAGGCGCCCTACAATTGTAGGGACGACTGCCGATACGGGCCGTAGACCTCCAATAATGCCATCCCTGAACCATAGGTTATATCAAATCAGCTCAAACGTTCAGTTTGTAATAATGAGATTTTATTTAAAAGGTGGAATATTTGCAATATTTTGAAGAAAGTGCTAATAAAATAATTAAAAATGACCGAAATGTTCTTAGAAATGTTCCCAAAAGAGCACCAACGAGAATGTGATGCATATTGTACTAATTTGTTCATATAGATACATCAATAAAATGAGAAAGACACCGAAAAAAAATCTTTACCTTTATATGACGATGCAAAAGATAAAATAAATAACTGCTAATTCTAACTTTCGTTGATTCATCCTCTTCTGTACTTCTTTGATAGTATTTTGTTTTTTATTTTAATTCATTCAAATATCATTCACAAACCTTACAATGAACTAAATGGAATCAAATCAAAACTAGATTTAAAATTTCATTGATTGATTCCATACCTCCATACAAAATTCCCTAGAGTGCCTTGCGTGCAAAGTCAATCTACTTGACGCCATTTTCTAAAATGTACTTGTTATACTATTGTTAGTGTGTTAGTAGTTGCAAGCTACGGTTATAAGCATCAAATTTTTGTTTTTCATGGTGCAATAGTATGTCTGCTTGTGAGGATGGGAGAGGGGTGAATACTTTTAAGATGATATATTCTGAAACACTGATTGCTATCACTTTTTACTATAAAAGTTCAAATTTTACAAATAGTATTTGGTGGAAAAAATTTTAAGCTGCGTTTTCATAACTATACTTACAATTCCATATTTGTGGAATATTCATTAATGTAGACAAAAGAAAAATGAATCGTCAAATCAAAACACATCAATGATGCAAAGAGTTGTGTTTATTTAAACAGAAAAATAAAAACCAACACATACGTATAGAAAATAAATATAAACATTCTAATTTCACAGGATCAGTTTTATCTTTTGAAGACATTCACTGGTATACAAGTATCACAACTTTTATTAATGTTTTTAATTATAAAAGAATGAATAAATCTATCTAAAAAATTCAAAACTTAACGGTTTTGAGTTTAAACTAAAAAATCTTTCTAACAAATATATCTTATAGTAGGTGGCATGTTTTTTAAAATTTGGATGACATTTAATTTCACCTTGTCATCAAGCCATTCTAGCATTAGTACAGTAGAACTGGTCAGAAGGATGTTTGAAATGATAATGATATATGACAACAGACAAATGATACTGAAATATAGCAATAGAGAAGCTAACATACAATGCGACCAGCGTCTCCGTTAACCGTGTATGTTATGAGAAAAAGGTTCGATTGGTATCAGAAAACGCAAGCTCGACGGGCAAAATGTGCACCATAGGATCAATGCGTTTTGCACTGTCAAAACAATTTAGGGGGTATAGTTATAGTGAACCTATGTCTATCAATTGTTAGTCAAGCATACCAAATACTTAAGGATTTGTCAATAGGTGTTAGAAGAATATTTAGTAACTTTGACAACACTCGTTTTTATCATATTGTTTATCGGGGATGGAAAACGCAATATTTTCACTTTTTCGAATATTAAATCGCATATATATCGAAAACTATCAACTTTGGAGAAATCTCATAAGAGCCATTTTTGTTATGAATTACAAAAAAGAAACTTAAAAAAAAACGTTGTCAGGAGCGAATAACAATGACTGGAGTTTGGTTAAACATTCTCAAGCAACTTTTGATGCAATTTTGGGCCTGACAGCATCCAGATTTGTTAAAAGAGGCTCTTTTTGAATAAGATTGCACCAAAACTATCAACTTTAGAAAAAGTTCATAAGAACCGTTTTTGTTCAAGATGGCAAAAAACACCTAAAAAACTTTAGCGCCTCAAAAATTTTTGTTTTGAATCTAGGTTCAGAATGGAGATCAAAAAAAAAACCTTTACCGGAGCGAAAAACAAACGGTTTAAACAATTTTGGGCCTGACAATCTGTAGATTCGTCAAAATCCTTTTGAATAAAATTATGCAAAATCCGAATCAGAATATTTTTCGAGCAGATGTGACGAAACTTCCCGAACTAAAAGAGTACTGTGCCATGTCATATTCGTAAACGTCCACCAAAATAAAGATACAAGCTAATTGGAAAAATCGTGTATGTAAATGAATAATGAATTATCTCGAAATACAAAAAAATAACCACAATAGAATAAATATCCTTTTTGCCAGGCTGATAATTTCTTCTGCCCATTCTATCACTAAAAAGAGCCATATATACAGGGTGTCTGGAAAGTTTCAGAACGATATTTGGTGAACTAATAATAGCAGGAAAAAACTGAGCCTTGGATTTGATAATTTTCCCCAGCTATTAAGTGATGCCCTTGTATTTGACCTTAACCATTACCTTCAAGGTCATTTGAAAGTCAAGTCGATTTTTTTAAATATTGTAGAATCCATTTTGACCCCATTACTGAAAAGAACGGAACATTTTACGTTCCAATATGGCGTAGACCATTCTTAAATTTTAACCTTAGGAGGTCATCGTCAAGGACAAACCTAGGTACGTTGGTAGAACATGAAAAACAGTAGTCGTATAGGGAAACTACAGAGACATTATTTTCATGATTTTTCGCCAGATATCAAATGGTAACCTTGATCACCTTCAAGGTTGTAGCCAGAGAACAATCCTGACAGAACAGTGACGTCAGTTCATCTCGGGGTTACACAGTGTTCTGAATTATCAAGAATTAAGGTAAACTTGATGGTCAAGTCCTAGGTCGAGTTAAAAAAATGGTCAAGGACATATTCCCCTTTCTCCATTTAATGACCTTGAAAGTCTTTGTCAAGGACAGATCCAAGATCACCATTGGATATCCGGGAAAAAATCATGAAAATGACTCGGTAGTATCACCGTACCTGTGTTTGACATTGATCATGAACTACTAAGGTCAAAATTTAAGAATCGTCAAGACCGTATCTGCACGTAAAATTTTCCGCTTTTTTCATTTACGGGGTCAAAAATGGATTTTCCTTTTAAAGCCATAGGATACCTGGAGAAAATTCTTATCAATAACGAGGTTTCGTTTTTTCCTACCATTATTAGTTATAAGACTTTGAGGTTATCACTAAAATGAATAAGTTTTTTTGTGAAATTGCAAGTCTCTTCTGATCAGTTCCATTGCTAAAGCGTTAGCTCATGCTTGATATTAGTCAGTATATTCTCGGTGAGATCATTTTTAAGTGGTATGCGGAATATATCCTATCCTATCATTATTCACAACTTCAGCCAAGCATCCACCTTTAAGCCATTCAGACACCTGCATGTCATTCGTCCAAGCGCTTAAACTACCCGCAACACGCGGACTTACCACAGGGTTGAACTGCTGTTGGTAACCCTGGAAATTGGGCGGGGCGAAGGGTGGTTGTCCCGCGGCTGCGGCCGCCTGAACAAAGTTGATGATCTGCGGTTGTTGCGGCGGAGGGGGGATGAATTGAGGCGGAGCTGCCACGAAAGGGGGCGGCGCCGCGCCCGGCGGGAACCCGGTGGGCGGGTACTGCGCGGGGATTAATGGAGCGGCCGCAGGCGGCGGCGGTAGCGCAGTGGGGGGAAGAGGTTGCTGGCCTTGACCGTTGTACTCTGCAATGAAGGAAAATAATAGTTTTAGGCTAAGCTAGTCGTTATTTTCAACCAATCACATTAAACAACCCACCGTCAAATTGTAGTAACCAATGACATTTGAAGCATAAGAAATAATAGCTATCAAACTATGAGATGACAGGTTAGTAACATAATAAATATTACCCAGAATTATGAAAATATGTAATAAGAAAGTGGAAACTACAGTTTTATCATTTTGGTTTGTAATCTTGAGTCATTTTAGCACCTCTGCCTGTTAAATTTGAAGAAATGTTTCAAACGACACAGCCTTTTGTTGTTAAAAATATATACAAGTTATGTACCAGTCTATAGCGAAGAATATGCTGAACAAGGACTTTTGCCTCCACGCTCCTTTCTTATCAGTTTCAGTATTGTATTTCATTTGTTCTTTACTTTGGTTTGTATAATGAACTTTGCAGTCAGTCTCGATTCAGAACTCATTCAATTAACATCATTGTATTTGGTTTTTCTCAAAAATAAATCTTTTTAAAAACGTTTTCGTTGAAGAAAGATATTTGAGTTACATACATGAGAGAAGAAATTTTCCTACATATGAACAGGTGCCCAATTAAGGATTTCGTTGATAAAACTGACTCATCGAGTGGATTTCACCAACATTAAAATTTAACAGAGTTTTCGACCAATCAAGAAACAGCTTATCGAAATGCATTGTGATGGAAGCAGACAAAGCTCTCTGAATGTCAGTGATTCCTATTGAAATGTTGAATAAAATAGTAAAAGTGGTTGTTTTAGAAATAAAGGTACATTCTTGATGTAATAACATGTCTGTGAGCTTTAAAATTACGATAACTTTCATACAATTATCAATTTCTATCACTTCACAAATAACGGTCTCTTATTGGTATTGACCCATCAAATAATAGAAATAATAGGCAGATTTTCTAGCTAATATATTTAATAGGGTGTTTTAACTATTTTGAACCACTGAACAATAGAGCATCGGACATAATACATACATGTAGAAATGTGTCAGTTTGATTCTATTTTACAAAAAATTATATAAAACATATTACAAGATTAAGAACTACTTATTACCAATTTATGATCTAGAAACTCACACCAATGTAAACAAACGGCGCATCGTGCATTTCTGCGTCAGAGAACATTTGTAAATGTATCAGCTTTCACCTATTATCCATCGTCGAGACATTAATGTTTGAATCAAAAATACCTATTTCGGAAAATATTTGCAAAAATTGTTTTCAAATCTCATTTATTTGATCTAGAACCTCTGGAATCTTAATTGCTTTTGGAGGGTTCTGCGGTGTTGTCGAACCTGAAAGATCGTAATCGGTAGATAGTGTATTTAAATTAGGTAGAATAAGGACAAAATCGGTATGGGGAAAAGTCTGGGTCGCCACAAGATCAGTGGTGGATCAAGGGCCTTTACGTCACGCAGCGCCTTCTATGTATTTTGTATATATAAAGTAGTGCGTGGTCTAATTGCCATTGAATCGTCAACCATCTAGCGGTCACGTGGTGACTGGACTATTAAACGTAAACTGAGATCCCTAACAGTTCCAACTAATAGCATCTATGTCCTCTCCGCAGTGGTTGATTCTGGTGCGATAGATGGCGCTTTGCGCTGTCTTATTTAATGACGTCATTGTGATTGAGGTTATAAATTGGTCGACCTTGAAATAGAATTTGCTTTTTGTTGCAAAATTTTTCATATTCTTGTTTATACATATTTAGAGCTGAAAGACGGCTTCACTAAAAACTGTTAGATGTTAAGCCGAAGCTGCTTTCCAGAGATCCAGTTCAGTTACTCGGAGTTACTCAGTAGGCGTCAGTATCAATAACGTTCCACTGCATTTTGTGTTTCCATGCGCATTTTCCAAAGTGGTCCGAGAGCATCTCGCTTTCAAACCAAAAACCGCTGGAAAAAAGCACGATGTTTTTAAAAGCTATCATGCTGTATATAAACCAAGGTTCAACTCGCATCTAAAAAATGTGACGTTGTCGTTTTGTGATGTTGGCTTGAGCACCTTTTTTTAATTCATATTTTTAGGTTTTTTTGTATGTTTTTTCAAATATACTCTCAAAATGAAATATTCCAGATTGCGGAAAGTGTCAGCACCCAAATCATGCGATATACAAGAGCCAGAAAGAAAAACATTATATGATAGGATCAAGGATAATTTCAAGCAGATAAACAGGGCGACTTACTTGCACAGAGTTATTTATGTTGGAGACCATTCTATACCAGGTTAATTTACAGTCCATATATTACTTTCGTATAAAAAATATTCAACAAATTTGTATTAAATTATGTTTTGAGACCTTGCAAACCTCGAATTTAACAAAGTAGCCCAAACTCATAACGATACTGAAAATCCTCTGGAAAAGTCTATTATTCCCGAACCAGGATGTTAGGTTGGGCATTTAGGAAATTACAAATTTTCTTAGAGGATCTTCAGGATTTATTTCAGGCGGAGATTTAATTTTCTGAAATTGACGCATAGCAAAAAACAGTTGTACAGCTTAAGAGATTTTTTTCGCGAGATCCCGTAGTGAACCGGAGCGGGAACAGATGGAATTTCCCCTTCCTCCCGAAGTTTTGACAGTTTCAAGTTACACCGAGAGTGGTTAGATGGCGCATGTTGCGCAAAATGTTTGCTTTAAGCTCCTTGATAAACTTAGCTTCCTGAAATAAAAAGACCGATCGTTTTTTGTGCAATATACATATCTATCAATAAAATCAATCATTTGATATGACAAGTGCGGTTCATATATCTTCGATGACCTTCTCGCTCGTCATTTAAAATCAGGAGGACGTGTTGCTCCATTTATGATTTAATATTTTAATTCAATTTTCAGCACTGGGAAGACAAATTTTCAATTGAGATGCCTGCTTTTTAAATGACATTGACATAAGACCTGTCATCCGCTAGTACCTCACAGAAGTTAGGCGGGTACCCGTACCACGTGATTTTTTGACAATCGGACGACGTCACATCCGTCTTCCCCTATTCCCGTTCTTCGTGAAAATTTGAGTATCGGTTCCCGGTAGTGCAACTGTGCTACACCGTGGACTCGCGAAAAAATTCTTTTAGATAATTCTTTTTGCAAGAGTTGCATGGTAGGTTATGGTATTTTCAAATGTTTTGTTGTTTAAATTTTTATGAGCAGCTAGGTATATGGTTTTACCGTGGAGTTCATATTTTGGGACATTTTTGGAAAATTTATAGTTGATACACTCATATGGTTCTAAAAAGTATACAACAGTGCATTATCCGAAGTCTACTACTAAATAATCTGTGACATATTTGATCGTTTTTTCCATGATCTACTACCTAGTATAATTGGAATTTTAAACGATCTAGAATCCCTCATATAGTAATATCAGACACACTGAGAGCAGAAGAGGAACACCCCTGCAGGGAACGGATAGGATTTTTAATCATCTACAAGAAATATTTTGTCCATATGATAGAAGGCGATGAAGATATTATCAATCACCATATCAAAGAGTTGTTCATCCTACAAGAAAAATATCCCAAAAATATTACTAACATCAGACTTCTCATACAGGTACCCACAGTTGCGTCACAATTGCAGTAGGATACTTATTTTTTATAATCATACAGGTATCTCACGTACTAAAAAGGCTATCTCCTGGTTGGTTCGCATACGAAGGAACTCCGCCAAAGCATTTGCATTCAATAAAAATCGACACCTTAGAAGATACAGCTCATCAGGTATGTACTACACCATACCATTTAATGATTACAATGTACATATGAGATTTTACAAATATATTAACTATCCGAGTGACGTCAAAGCATCAAGGTACTCATCAACTGAACAGAGACACTGATTAAACAATGTTTTTACAACAAACTTCGAGAAGAAGCGATTAGACATATTTTCAAAATTATCTTCTTTATTTGCATTGACGAATAAATTATATAATATTACGTTAGGTCTTTTATTTTTAGTCATATATCATCAACATGCTGATCACGCGCTGGTCATGTTTTGGTTTAATGTCTTTCTTGGATAGCGTTTAGCTATCAAAATTTTATTCAGGGTGTCCGCAAAGAGGGGACTTTCTTTCACATGACGTATAAAATGTCAATAGTTGGTATGGTATCGTATTGAAATGTTTGTATGATTTTTTTAGTTTGTTTTCGCAATAACTATAAAGCTGTTTGTAGTTGTACAGATGCGTGAAGAAAGTCTATTCCTTAGTGCACAAGTACGCCAAGGATGCACTTTATCCAAACGCGGATGCTGTTTCCGTCGGTTCCCGGGAACGGAAACGAGGTTCAGATGGAAGCGGAAGCTCGAAAAATTCAAGAAATTCGAGAAAATGCGATACTTTTGGCATTACGACCAGTTCGACGGTGACGATAGGGTCAGGTTGGTTTTAGTATGAGGGGAAGGTGTGTTCGATCTCCATTCTGGTTAGGTCTACCTTTGACACAACCTTAGATAATAACAAATCACGAGCAATTTTTGATGGGTCAAACTATCGGTATTATTTTCATATCCCCATCTTCCTAATATACACGGTGTTCCACGAGGAACTGCAGCGATCCATTACTCGGAAGGTAGGCGTTAAGCAATTTCGTTCAATTGTAAAATCAATGGAAGCAACTCGGCTACAGAATTTTCAAAATGATGTTTACCAATTTGCTTATTTATCCTATGTATTATTCAAATTTTTAATTCTAAACGCATTTTATATATAACGACTTATATCTAAGTCGAACTGCATTTGAAATATTCTCAATTTCTTGTGAAAAGGCACAAATGCCAAATAAATGTGAATGTCTGTATGTCCAGTTTTCACGTCAAAACCCTCACCTTTGGGATCTCGGAAACTGTAAAAGATACGAAGTCGCTTAAATAGGAGCAAAGTTGCGTATTTAGGTAATCAACTAAATGCCGCTTAGAAAGATTCGAAATTCAAAGTACTTCAGAAGAAAGAGACGGAAAAAACAGAATTTTCACAAAATCGTTTTCATTTTTTCCTGACTTGGATTGGCTGTTACTGTATTACATATTTTACATGTTTGAAATCAGAATAAAAAACTCTATGCATGTGCGCAAAAATCCAATATGGCGACCATACAAAATAAAATTGATGATATAGGACACGAGATGAAACGTCATATTGAAATTCTAGTTATGCCATCTTGTATAGGAGTAAAACTAGCAATGTTTATGTGCTGTTTATTTTGAAATCCCACTACAAATAAAGTCATAAAAACATTAAAACGATTTTTGGAAGAAAGTACTTTGAATTTCGAAATTTGTTCAACGACGTCTTGTTGTATGCAAGTTGACTGTCAACCTACCAATACATGCAATTATAGCAATACTCAAAAACAATGTTATATGCTATAGTAACAATAATAACAAAAAATAGTTGCTCAATTACTATTCAATCTGTTATTTTCAGTTCGAGATAAATACGGATCGTTTCTACCCGAACAAGAAATTCTGCTGGAATCAAAGTTAACGATGACGCTAAAAAAATATCATTCGCTATATGCATTGGTGCCCCAAAGCGATATTTTCAAAGATAAAGTTTGGCCGGTACCTGGGGATTTCATACCTTTCGCCGTGTTTAGCTCGCCCTATGATATGGCGACGGAAATGCCAGCGCCAGAAGCGGCCAGCGAAAAGCAAGAGGTGGGATCAGAACCGATCGAGGAAAGTTCCTCAGAGGAACACACTTAACAGGCGGAAACAACGCCGCAGCAACGAGATATTGTTTCAGAAAGTAAAGGTAAATGATGCGGATAACTTGTATAAAACAAATTAGCAGATATGGATGAAATAAAAAGCGTAATAAACTGGTACTCCTGTAAATGTGATATTTTTAGTGTTTTACAAAAAAGCTTTTACTGCGAGGTACCACACGAGTTATCTCGTAGTTGGCAGTCAACGAGTTAATAAATGTGTTTATATTACTGGAGCAAGAATATTAATCCCGAAAATGACTGGTTACAATATGGCGAATATCCAACAAAACTGAAGTGTTCTACCATAACTCATATAATAAGTTAAGAATTCTGAGTTGTACATCAGTATGCGGCAAATAAATATTCTACCAGATATTGAAAAAGTCTTTGAAGACATTATTTACGAACCGATAATCGAATTTATCAAGGGAAATAAAATTTTAATCTTTCAAACTGGATACAGGAAGAAACACTCGGCTGAAACGGCAATACAAACATACAGTGACAGTGTTTTTTTTTTTGGACATCGCCCTGTATAGGGCACTGATAGCAGCTGTCCCGTAATTTCGATCCGGAAAATTTTTTAGACGAAAAGCGAGATAACCGAGGTATTTAATATGGAAACTGACCCAGGGGGGTCAGGAAATGGCGCTTCCACCATGGCAATGGAGATGGAGTCGAAGGAGCAGACCATAGAGGAGCTGAGAGCCGAATTGGAGATGGTTCGACAGGAGCTGTCAAAAAAGGACGATGATAAGAAGACCAATGAAAGATTGATGATGATCATCAAAGCCCAGCAGCGGACAATTACCGACCTAACAGTTAAATTAGACCTCCTACTGAAAACCCAGGTACCTTCCCATCTAAATATTACAAATTCTTCCCAAACACTTCCCAAAAATCCCAGTAAAGACAAAGCTGTCAATCTTAAGAGACCGTTAAATAATTCAAGCGATCTTTCCACAGACGACGATACACTCCCTGACGGTTTTACCAAGGTTAAGCCCCGTAAAACGCGACGAAACAAGACCGATACGACAGGCTTTCCTCCTCTTCCTTCACCAAAATCGCAGTCTGAAACATCTCATTCAACTGCAAGCGACTCGAATAAACAGCCTGTGCCTAATCTATCGGTTACTTCCACGCCTTCGACATCTCAGGTACCAGAAGACACGACTGCACAGCCCCCACGCAAGGTACGTGTTACCCCCATCGTTCTTCGTGATGCTTCGAGATGGCGAGGCGTAAATCACAAGTTTATTTCCTTGGACATCAAATTCGAACGCGCGGTTGCCGTCGATGCAGGAATCAGGATAATTCCCAAGTCCGAGGATGATTACCGCAGGATTATTCGTCTCTTCAGGGAGGAAGAGGTGCCCCATCGCACTTTCCCTCTACCCTCCGAGAGGAACATTCATGCTGTAATCAGAGGAGTACATGCGACACTTTCGGAAATTGAGATCAAGGAAGAGTTGCAACAGAGGGGATATTCCCCCCTGCACATAATACGCCTGAAACGCGGTGGCGGCGTGCCCATGCCTTTGGTGGTAGTCATACTGCCCAAGATAGAAAAATCTCAGCAGCTGTTCAACGAACACGAGCTGCTAGGTTTGGCTATCCGAGTCGAAGTTCAAAAGAACTCAAGACTCATCGGGCAGTGTCACCGCTGCCAAAAATATGGGCATGCGCAATCTTACTGCACTGCACCACCTAAATGTCTAAAATGTGCCTCTGACCACATGACCCACTTATGCCCTCAAACAGAACAAGAGGAACGAAAGTGCGCGAACTGTGGAGGGGGGCATCCAGCGAATAGCCGAACTTGCAGATTTGCCCCTAAGAAAAATCTGCAAGTGATAGCGCAAAGGCGCAATGTAAGTTACGCGGATGCAGCTAGGGATGCAACCCGGGCTGCCCCCTCTGTGGGATCTTCTGCGAACACGCAAAATGTGGACCTGGCAACCGCGCTAAGGTCCTTACAGCAGATCATAGGTCCTCTGATTAGCGCAACACAGGCTTTGCAGGCGATCTTTCCTGCAAATGGCTAGGTACAATCGACGACAGCCTGCATTTATCAAAATTCTTTTTTGGAATTGTTTGGGTCTAAGGGACATTCCCAAAAGACGGGAATTTCATCAAGCTCTTGTGGACGAAAGTATAGATGTGGCCTTGCTGCAGGAAACATTACTTAATCCGGGAGATCGTCTAGCTTTCCCGAATTACGATGTTATCCGGGCTGATAGATTGACTGGACGGGGTGGCGGCTTGGCAGTGCTAGTGAAACGCGGTATTGACTACCACAGAAGCACAAACGCTGACATGCAGAGCATCGAAGCGGCTTCCGTGGTGGTCAATATGACGGGAGGTGTGCCGTTAAAAATCACATCGGTGTATGTCAGGTGTGGTAACAGGCTGCAAGAGGCGGATCTGGAAGTCCTTTTAGACTACTCGGGTCCACTTATTGTGGCAGGGGACTTCAACTGCAAACATCGAGCATGGCATTCCAGGTTGAATTCCACCAGTGGGATCCGACTGTACAACCATGTGATACGAAATGGCTACCTCATACATAGTACTGAGGAGCCGACGCACCACCCATTTAATCACTTTCAGGCACCTGATGTTCTTGATTTGGCATTATCCAAAAACTGTAGCTACAGCATCACTTCTCGAATCATGTATGACATCTCAAGCGATCATCTTCCCGTCGTTTTGGAAGTGGCTAATGAGCAGATCTTGGGGGATGAAATCCCTCCAAGGAAACGCATTGATTGGGAGCTATACAAGTCGCTCCTCAAAGAGTTCCCCAATATACCGATCATAGATGATGAGAACGGTATAGATGCGGCTCAAGCAGAGTGGACAAGTTTTGTTCAGCAAACTCTGCAGCGTGCAGCTGTACTTCCCGTGCAGCGACACGGCAGACCTTTTCTGCCAGCAGACATTCGTCAGAAAATTTCTGATAAAAGAGCTGCAATTAAGCAAGCGAAAAGGTCTGGTCATCCTGATGACATTCGCAGAGCGACGAATCCTGTTCATGAAGTAAGAAATGCTCTTCATGAATTCCGCAATGAGCAATGGAACGACTTTCTGGCGGGGATGCTTGACTCAAGCATTCCTCTCTGGAAGGTGGCGAAGTCGCTCAAAAACGGAAAGCGTGAACAAATCCCACACATTCACGGTCCTGGAGGCATTGTCTTCAGGACAGAGGAGAAGGTTGAGGTTTTCGCCGATGCCATGGAAAGACAGTTCTCTCCCAACTATGATCTTGATAATGACCTCGACGAGGAGCAACACATCGTAAGATCTGTCAGGAGATATTTTAGGGCCAACGGCGTCAGTGACAGTCGCGCATTCGTTGGTGATTTTTCTTCATCAGAAGATTCTTCTTCAGAAGCTTCTTCAACCGAAGATTTGCTTAGCACATCAGCGGTATCTCCTGAGATCCCGCATTGCACACCAGCAGAGATTCAAGGTCATATTAAAGACCTTAAAGTGCGTAAAGCACCTGGGGAGGATCAAATCACTAATAAGGCGCTGAAGCTGCTTTCGCGGAAGTCCTTAACTTATCTCGTGGCAATAGTCAATGCCATGCTCAGGATCCAGTACTTCCCATCCGCGTGGAAGACCGCTGAAGTTATAATGATTCCAAAGAAGGTGGGTTCGATATTTCCCCAGGATTATCGTCCCATTAGCCTGCTGTCAGCTGCGTCTAAGCTCGCTGAAAAGGTGATTCTACGTCACCTTGAGAATTTCTCGTCAGATCACCATGTGATTCCTGACGTGCAATTCGGTTTTCGGTCTGAACATAGTACGGAGCTACAGGCGGTTAGGCTGGTGGAACGTGTAACCAGAGGATTCACCCTTAACGAAAGTACTGGCATCTTGCTTTTGGATGTCTCAAAAGCATTTGACAAGGTGTGGCACGCGGGCCTCTTGTATAAACTAATCCAAAAGGGCTTCCCTTTTTGGCTCCTAAAACTACTGAAATCCTTCCTTGAAGGTAGGAAATTTCGGATCAAAATTGACAATGTGCTGTCGACAACACGGCTGATTACAGCCGGCGTCCCTCAGGGTTCGGTCCTTGGACCTATCCTTTACTCACTGTACATCCATGACGTCCCTAGTCCCAGCAACTGTGAAGTCTATCTCTATGCTGACGATACTGCATTGGTGGCTCAGTCGTGGTCTGGTGACCTAGTCCATGACAGGCTGCAAAGTGCGGTGGAAGAAGTATTAGATTGGGCGGATCGGTGGCTAATTAAAATAAATCATTCGAAAACGCAGGCAATCTACTGTACCAAAAGACGTCGCGGCGTTCCGTCTGAAGTTTCAATGAATGGACTTCGTATACCATGGGAATCCTCCGCTAAGTATCTCGGTGTCATTCTGGACAAAGGGATGACTTGGCGGAACCATATGGAAGCGCTAAAAACTAAATTCCAAATTACGTTTCGGCAGCTTTACCCATTATTATGTAAACGGTCAAAATTAAGTTTGATTAACAAAATTCGACTCTATAAGGTGGTCATAAGACCAGCAATGACATACGCATGTGCGGCTTGGTGTTTTATTGCTAAAACACACATGCGAAGTCTGCAGGTTCTGCAAAGCAGGACGTTGCGCACTATTGCTGATGCCCCATGGTATGTCTCTAACGAAACTCTACATAGAGACCTCGATGTCCCTTACCTAAAGGACTACATTAAGCAACAGGCGCAGCGGCGCTATAGCCTAGCGGAATCGCACAGCAACCCACTGTTGCGTGATTCAGTGGACTACACAGTCGAGCAAGTTCGCAAGCACAAAAGGCCGCGGCTCGCACTGTAATCAAAATTAACTCGTGAACTTAGAACAACCAAAATTGGAGCATTTTTACACAATCTTTAGAAAAAATCAAATATTTTTAGACCATATCAAAATCTGTGAAGCGATTTTAACAATGCCTAAACGCTGCATATCCTAAAAGATTCTCTTCTTCCCCTTTGCTCTCGTTCTTCCTTCTCTCCTTTCCTTCCCCTTTTTTTCCTTAAAATTGTCTGGTTTCTGGGTTACCAGACCTGACAGACTTACAAACTGACACTGTGACTCAAGAGCTAAGGTCCCACGGACCGCTCTGACAACCAACGATGACTTGACTGACTTGAGTGTTTTTGGACTTCAAAGGGACGTTTTAAACAATTGACAGGGATAAATTACTTACAAAATTGCATCACTATGGATTTAAAAGATCTGCAGTCAAAATTCTACAAAAGTATTTAATTGACGGAAGTCAAAAACAAAAAATTGATCTACATTGCCAAGCTCACTGCTTTAAAAATGCTAAATTCTGACTTGGCAAAAATCATAATAATAAATAATCTTTATTTCAAAATAACAGTGCAAAATTACAACGTAATGTCCGCTGTCAGGTGAAATATACGTCACATAATGCCATAAATTGGTGAAATGTAAATAAACTTAAATTAAATGATTCTAAAACAAAATGTATGCTAATAGGCAAATACCTAAATGAAAATAAATACTATCACAGTCAGGATAAATGGTGAAGTAAATGAAAATGTTGAATCAAATATTTAGGTATATATATTGATAGTAAAATAAAGTCTGAGGATCACTATGAATAAGTTATTTAAAAAATTGTCAAAAAAACAAATTACTTTTATAGGGCTTCTCGTAGTCTTAGTACCTATTTCAAAAAAGTTTATAATACAATTATTGTACCACATTTACTATATTGTTCAACTATCTTGTTCAAAGCCAATGAAGCTGTATTCTCAAAATTAGAAGTCCTCCAAAATAAGACTATGAGAATAAGATTGAATAAAAATAAATATACAATAATAAAATTTATGTTACAAGAATTGCAGTGGTATAAAAATTTCATATTATATTTGGTTCTTATTCTTATATATAATATATAATAAATAAAAAATTATATTTTGCCACAACAGTTAGAACACTACATAGAATTGAATCATTACCACAAATATTATAAAAGAGGAAATATAGATTTTCAGTTACAAAATTGCAATAGTAATATAACTAGCAAATCAATATTTCAGAAAGGATTACTTGAATTTAATAAGCTAAATAATGATATAAAGTTCACTTGTAATTTAAAAGTGTTTAAAAGAAAATTAAAGGAAGATTTCATATGCAGTGAAAATTCTTAGAGATACAAATTTTGTTTTTCCAAATATGTGTATGTTATGTAATTATTGTTATAGTTTTTAAAAAAAATGTAATTGAAGCAATCATGCTAAATAAATCTTGAACAAAGCAAATTGTTTTCAATGTCCAATGTCCCTCGAAATGGCTTTGGTGATGCCTAGACGTAAAATTCGCTCCTCTTTTCAATTCTGATGTGAAAGTGTTCCATTTGAAAATGTGCACCTTGCACAATGAAAAAACCTCAAAGGTCGTAATCATGGTCATTGACAAGGTCACCACCTTCCAAACCCATTTGTTTGGAACTTTTTTTCTAGAATGAACAGCTTTCGAAATAATCAGGTAGAGAGATTAAAATGGGACACTGTGTACATCTAGAACTAGTCAGTATGTCCACACCTTCGTTCCTATGGTTGCATAAATTCTACAAAAAATTTCCCGATCGGATTACACCTATTCAAAACGTAAGTCAAAAATCTGTCCTTAACCTCCAATCATAACCTTTTTGTTAACTTGAGATTACCTTCATATTTCATTTAATATAGAAAACGAAAGTTCGCTAAACTCACCATTTGGGTAGAAAGTAGTAGGATATGCAGCGGCAGGTGGTGTATTCGCCTCAGGCAAAGACCTCTGCCTCATCGAGCTGTACCTTTTCGACCCCTTCGAGTGCTCGGATTGCAAGCGCGGCGGCACGCTACCTTGTCTTTGAGAGCCGTGTTTGTTGCCCCCTTTGTACACCCCGTCCACGCTCAGTTTGCTCATCTCCTTCTCCATATCCTGGATCGACTGCGGGGCATTGTCGCGCGACTTGTTCGTGTAGTTCTGAGTTTGGATAAAGTCCGGCTTCGGTTGTTGCTGGCTACGCGGCAGTACCTGAAAGGTAGAGAAAATGTGAGCACAATCTATAATATCCTTTCTGCGGCCATAAAAAATACGCGCTAAATAAATCTTGAGGACAGGAAAAAAATGTTTTGATCGATGTCTCACCATATACCATTGAGGAATTCGTTGATTAATTGCCTCTAACTTGCACAATACTCTTTTATGTTTTATATGTTATTTTTTCTAATGTGTACTACCTGTTGTACCTGTACCGTGGATAATTTTGTTGTTTGTCTTCACGTTAAGCAGTGTTGAGTTTTTATACATTTCTTATCTGCTCTTTTCTTGGCATGACCTATCTACTTGTATTTGTAGCTACGAATTTGAATGAATAAATTTGAATTTGATATGCACTCAATTTTTTTTAATTTCCTATTATCAAAAAGATAGTTATGGAATAAAAAAAAAATGTTGATTATCCTCACCTTTTGCTGATCAGTCTTGATAGGTCTCTGTTGACGCGTCTTAGTGGTGAAGCCCCGGTAATCAGAATCCTTGATTTCTTTCTTGGGCTTTGTTGGCCGATCAGATCCCATACGTTGGTAGGCCTCCTGAGCATAATTTCTGCTCCTATTAATCTGCTCCGGAGAGTTTTCTGCTGCAGCAGGTGGCTGGAAAGCAGCCTGTCTGTCAACAGAATCGCGCCGATCTTCTGAGCTATCAATCGAATCATTTGCTGGGTGGGTATCTGGAAAAATAAATCACGTAGTTTGTCATGGTACTTTTCACACATATACACAGGAAAATTAATACACACCTCCTGACTGATCACTGATGAGAGGTGGAAAGTCTTCTACGTTCTTGATAGGCCTAGATTGTTTCTTAGTAGGCAACTTTGCCTTCGGAGCCGGTTTATTGTAGGCTTCCTCATCTTCCCAGTTACGCGTGTATTTATTTGGTCCACGACTAAAAAGTAAAGCGATTGATCAACCCAACATATCAATATTTCATACTAAGGGCCGTACCGTCAGTCGTTCTTACAATTGTAGGACGCCTATATGGCCTCCTTGATTTCCATAACATCTTCTCTCCCTCAGTAGGGCACTTGAATGGCTGCTTTAGATTTCTGCCATGCCGACAATTCTGATGTTAGGTTACACTTTTTTTCGACGATTATGAAATTTCAGAGAGACGAATCAAGTGCAGAAGCATATTTTCTTGCAAATAGAGTTGATCAGACAGTAATGCTTCCCTGGATTGCACAAATTCCACAAGCAGTGGTAATTTCAAGAAATTGTTGGGTTAAGAAAATCCATATCTAGTATTAATGGTATGAACACAGCCGACGTCAACTACGAGCCGTGAACAAAGAAATCTGGCAACGTAGGTGGTAGTGTTACTCCCGCCGCTCAAAACGCTGAGAAAACATAACCTTTTCAATTTGTGATTTTGGAATCGCAGAGGCTGTAATTAAGAGATAAGCTTGTTTTTTAAGCTTCAAAGTGTGTGTATGTGTTCAAAGTGATCGGTGACTATAATATATGAGAAATAGACTCCAGTTGTAGTGCTTCTGTGCTTTAAAAATAAACTAAGAAGTGAGACTGTGGCTGTTCGCGCCTCAGGACGCTAAGGATTTCAACTATTGAAAACGTGCAAATTCTGGTTGTATTTTTCAAATTTCAAATAAAAATGACATGGCTAAAACTGTTTTAGCCTTCATGCTATCTTCAGCATTTGGAAACATAACAGAAATTATCAAATTACTACTAGTTTCAAATCTAACAGGTGATGAAATGACACCTTTGGTTGAACATGTGATAAATTTAGTTAAAAAATGTGGATTTGAAGTTATTTGTGTTGTTACTGATAATCACCGAATTAATAGAGCAATGTTCAGGAAATTAGCAAAGGATTCATCAGAAAATTATTCTATTCCAAATCCACATAATCCTGATAAGAACATATATTTAACTTATGATGTTGTGCATATTTTCAAGAGTATCAGAAATAATTGGATTAATTCAAAAAACCTAGACAAAACTTTTGTATATCCTAATTTTGACAATAATGATATTATTCAGTATGCTAAATTTGAAAACATTCGTGCTGTATATCAATTGGAAAAAGAAGCTGTAGTTAAGAAAGCATATAAATTAAATTATAAAACATTGCATCCAAATTCATTTGAAAGGCAAAATGTAAATAATAGATAATTTATTCCATCACTCAACAATAGCTGCTATGAAAGAATTAAAGTTTAATGATGCTGCACACTTTTTGGAAATAATCAGGAATTAGTGGGATATTGTCAGTTATACAAGTGTAATAAAAGGAGAATTGAAGCGAAACGAATTTTGTAAGCCTATTACCAATAAATATGATTATAGAGTACAATTTTTAAAAAAATTCCTGATATGGTTAGAAAAATGGCATAATCTAGAGAATAATAATGGACACCTGACACCAGAAACGTATACAGCTCTATATCAAAGCACGCTGACTCTACTTAATGTAATTGAATATTCATTTAATCGATTTGACATTGAGTATGTATTGCCTGGAAAATTCACCACTGATAATTTAGAAAAACGATTTAGCAATTATAGACTTTTATGTGGCTGCAATTACAATGTGTCATATGATGAAATTTTAAATGCTGAAAAGAAAATACGGCTGAAGCATATTTTCAATGAAAAGAAATCATCATTTTCTTTAGCAGAAATTAAAACAAGGTTCCAAAACTGCTTAGAAACTCAAGAAAATTTTGATTTCTTGGATACCAAACAAAATCCTGAAGTTTTGGATATATTCAATGAAGTATTTGAGACAAATTACTTAGCCAATTGTGACATAGAGGATAGTACTAAGACATATATCTGGATATGCTTCACACGCTATCTCTAAAAACCTAAACTGCGAGATATGCAAATCGCTAATAGTTAAAGAAAAAGGTTCATTAACAACAAATATTTATTTTGATCATTTGCAAAGAGGAGGACTGTCAATTCCAACCAGTTATGTACCAATCATATTCTACCATATGTATGCCATTTTTGAATCTATTATTAATGTAGATAGATTGGAAATTTTCTTCTTGAAAAGCAATAATCAAAAATTTATTTTGTGTCAGTTAACCTTGCTCAGCATTCAGTCTGATTTTATATACAGTGAATTTTCTTTAACTTGCATCTGTGGCCGCAATTATGCAGATATTTTATCTAAGCTTTTGTCTATTTTTTCAAACATAATTTTGAATGATTATGTAAAATTGAAAAATAACAGTAAAACTGAAAGTAAATGTATTAAAAACAAACAGGTAACTCCACATTTCCAAGCTGGGCCTGTTGGAACACAGTGTGCTGACACCACAAAACGTAAACTAAATACTTTTAATTAGGTTAACTGCATTAGCGACTCATATATATCACGATTATTTCGTATTTTTAAATTTTTTAGAGCTATTTCATATTCAGATGATTTGTATCGAATCGAACTGTCCTCTTTTCCAAAATTAAATTTAGTTCTTGAACGTTACACGGAGACGGAGCACACAGCCGTTGGCGGCCGACGTTCACAGGTAGCACTACCATGCCGTCCGAGCGCGGTGTTGCCTTTCTTTCATCACGGCTCGTAGTTGACGTCGGCTGTGGGTATGAATATGAACAATGTAATGAAGGTGGGTATACAATTTCTTAAACGTCAAAAAAAACCTAACCCAACATCAGAAGTGTCGGTACGGTAGAAATCTAAGCAGCCATACAAGTCCCTTACTGAAGGAGACAAGATATTATGGAAATCAAGGAGGCCATAAAGGCGTCCTATAATTGTAGGATGCCTTGATGGCCTCCTTGATTTTCATAGTTTTCTACTATTCCGTGTCAGTGTACCATTTTTGAGGTTATGTTACAAATATCTATGCGCATCACATTGTTCATGCTTTTGATTTATATCATCTGTGATATAGCCTGAAATTTCCTACAATTTAAGAAGAAAACATAGCCTGACACAGAACAGTAAAAATCTAGATTTATCCCAGCCTTTCTGAAAAAGAGAAAAGACTATGAAAATCCAAGAGGCCATAAAGGCGTCCTGCAATTGTAGGACGACTGACGATACGGCCCTAAGACTTGTATATGCAAATAATTATTAAATAGAAAAATTAAGAAAATGTTATGCGAGTCATTGACACTGAGTAAAATAGCACATTGTTTATTATCCTTGTCTGGATGAAATAACAAAATACATTGCAAAAAACTCAAAATTCTTGCTGCTGTTATATAAACAATATGAAAATCACGTTTCTCACTCAATAGGTACCATGAATTAATTTTAAATTATAATGAATGATAAAAATATCCTAACCCTTTTTATCTAAACCAATGACCCAAGAGGGTCACAAATACCCTCTTGGGTATTATGTGTTTGTCCTTTTTAAAATTGTATGTTACTATTTCTTTTTAACACTGGAACTTTAAGACGTGTCTTTTGGTGTCATACAATAAATAAATAAATTGTGACCTGAATTGAAATGTTAGAAAAATCAAGTCAAATATGAATAAATGATCTAGAGCCTATTCAAGTGATGCAAATCGATTTTAGACACATCTCTCAAATCTTCTGCAAACTTCTATAAACACACTCATGTAGCATAATTAGTAGATAATTATTCATACATATTTTACAGGAGGCCCAATAAAAAGGTTGCACCCCCATATTTTGGGAAAAACGCTCGGACTCGAACGTCTTTTCATCTATAGCAGGCTACACATGGTGATCCAAAAATAAGATATTGGGTTACACTTTGGATTTGTAAATGCAAACCCCATATTTTTAAATTTATAGATTTTTCATGAAGTTTTTAGTATCTTTTGTATAATAAAGTTTATAAATATCTACAATTGTTATGAAGCTATTTGAATTTATAATAAAATTGGCCTAACTTACTCAATACACATAATACTGGAATGCATGGCAAAAAATAATCATGGATACCAGCAAGAACATTTAGCATCAGACAGTCTCATCATATGCCATAGAAAAACCTTGTCTTTCATCTCAAATTGTTAAGTCACCTACCTAGTTGTGAATATAATAATAAATATAGTCCCCATAGTAACAAGACTTTACTTTAAAATTAGATTTGCCTTATTTGGGTTCCTTCACTTACCCGTATCTTCTACGTCTTCTAGCTCTGGGAGGGCCTTCCTCATTTCTTATATCATATCCATAGATATTGATCAATTCCGATTTGGTTTTTGGAGACTGCTCTGTTTCATTGAATCGATCATGGGCCCATCTTTCCTTCTTATCTTGCCAAACTTTCTTTTTACCATCTTTCTCAACCTCTGCTACCTGGACTTCACCCCTGGAAAAATTTGAGAGAATCATTCAGGCAGCTCTGCATGGTTAGGATGCAAGGTCAAAGTCAGGCAGAGCTGTTTGGCAGACTAAAAATTGATAATTTATATGTCACTCTTCTGTCAGGGTCTAACAGGGCTCTCTATTGAATCCAGTTGCTGAGATACCATAGTCATGAAGAAAGAAATTAATTAAATATTTCCTTCTATATGGCCACTGTCACACATTGTGATCTCATCAATCCACTACAAAGCATTCAATACATAGTTTTTGTATGGATCTTAGTAAAATGTTGAAAGTGTAGCATCTTCTTAAAAGATGTTTCCCCATAAAATCTAATTTGACTAGCCTAGATTCCCTAAAAAATGCCTTAACTTTGATATAAACAATGTAGTAACTATATCTAGATACACTACTTAAAAGAAGGGTATAGCTTCTGGAAGATAATCAGACACTTTTTTAATACAATCTAGCTTTCATTTTTTAAACTATGGGTACATACTAAAATATCAGCTTGTATGAAATTCAACCGTGTAACTCTATAGAGTAACTAAATGTAAAAACCTGTACAACTGATTGAAAAAAACAAAGGAAAGTGTCACTACTCACTCCTCTTCTAACGTACGATCATCATGCTCATAGAAAGTCCCTCGTTTAGGAATATACTGTGGATTCTTCTTATCTTCATCATCATCCACCTTTTTTTGTGGAGCGCTTTCTTGCCCATCTCCCTCTTCACGCTCCAAAGTGATGCTTCCACCGCTTTCCGAATTGCTGTGGTTTCCAGGATCGGAGCTCCTGGACCTCAGCTTAGCGTCTTTGCTGTCTCCTTCATCGCTATAACTATCGGCACTATCGTACTCGGAGTGGTCCGACGTCACTGGATTTTCAGCGTTTTCTTTCTTATCCTGGAACACCATATTGTTTGAACTCGCTTGACACTGAAATGATACTGCCTTGCTCCAGTTCTTGTACGATTGACCCGATTTTTCTCAAATCGTGTTTGGAGGTCTTTCACTTTCTACTATCACTTTAGAAACGGCAATTAAATAGTCAATTATTCGATTCACTTACCGTCGGTCCAGGGTCCTCGCTTTCCGTTTTTCTATTGGCTTCTTCTAAGCTGGTTTCCATTTTTTATTGGTGAAAAGAGCTTCACATATTTTTATTAAAACAAGTTTGAAAAATACAGGGACTGAAGGTGAGATGTTTTGCTTGCTGCAACGTACGTGCAAGTTTCACTGGCATGGGTTTTCGCGTGCAGGAGAGAGACAGAGAAATCGAAGCATTTCGCAAATCGACGTGTCAATTTTTTAGGTTAGAATTCGGTGTGCAGTCACAGAACAAGGAAAATAGAATGGAACTTTGTCGTTCTGTGTCACTGCTAGTAGGGATGTGAAAATCAGTATAGTAGTCATCTTGGACTAATGATCAAATAGAGATGAAGTATTCAAAGCTATGAAATCTTTGTGCCTACTTGCAAAAGCTTGATGCTTGATTGACCGATCGTAGATGATTAGAATGCAAGCTGAAAATGTAACGAAATCTAAATTATCACTCTGCAAAATGCTATCGGGTCGGCAGAATGTTGAAAAATTGGAATTATCGATATTAGATTTGGATATTTCCACGGCACTTGGAGAAAATTTCGTACATTCCAAGAATATGGATATGCCTTTTTATGTTTAGTGGGTCGTTACTAAAAGTTGTAGTCACCGTTCTTGGCGGGTCAAAGTAAGACCAGTATCCCTTTATATATCTCCAACTCCCTCATACATTCACATGCAACCTACCCCTGTGTGTGAGCGTTTGTTTGGTAATCTTAAAGACATACGTTTTTTAGTTGTGTGTATGCGTCTCGAAAACTTTGTCGTTACGTATGAGTGCCCTTCAATCATATTTGTCAGAGTGACAACTTACTTGACATCGGCGTGCAATTTGAGTGGTCCTGTTATCAATCTTCAATATAAAAGTGTACAATGCCCGGAAATACGATCAATGGAGACAGCTGACAGCTCGTGTTAAAGTTATTAGAGTATTTCCAGGAAGAGAATGAAAACAGCGGTTAGGAAAATTATTTTAATATCAGTACCTAATGGAAATTAAGATCCGCCCATGGTACGGAGACTCGATCTGTTTACTTATTTCATATAGCGTTGATGACGTAACCGCCAAGAACGGTGAGTACAACTATACATAGTCACACTACTACTTCCAATCCAAATACATACCAAGGAACTCCGCATTATTAATATTGACATTATTATATCCAGTTCGAAGTTTAGTATGTTACAATAATTTCTTTGTCTTGTGTGAAATCTAATGCACTGCTTTATTTGAATTAAGATATGAGTTATTATTTAAAAACCAGTTATGCAGCCTAGACAGCGAAACGTCTCTATATTGTGTTTCAACTGTTCACCAGAAAAACCAGAAGCTTCGATTGAGGATTGATCTGTGACATCTGCATGGACGCCCGCAGGATTTTTTCTCAGGGGAGAGGCGATCATCGGTAAGAAATAGCTTTTTTTGTGAAAATGTACCAGCTCCCAAAACTTTTTGAAGAGAGCGGGACTAGCAAACTTTTCCTTGGGAAGGGGTCTGCAAATCCTAAGATAGTACAGAAAATCGTGCTAAATATGGCGGATTCCTAGAGATGTCCACACACAAATCTCGATTCTTGGACAGGATTTTACTGTTCAATGTGTGTTGCCGTGACCGATCCTTTTCAAAAAAATGTTCGGGATAGAAAACATCGCTTCAGAAATGAACATTCAGTTATTGGTGCCATACTGTATAATAAGAGCTACAAGTTGAAATATTTAATTTACGAGAGAACTTCTTAACTTAGCCAATTAATCTTGCTTTCTTGCTACCAAAATTTTGTATAAATGAGGATTATGCAATACATCAAGAAAACTTATTGCGGTCGAATTAGGAATTTAAATAAATGTACATATTTATAAAAGACCTTTTAATCACAGTGTCTTGAGACGCAGATTAATTAGTTTTGCTGAATGAAGGAGAATAAAACCATGAAAACGTTTAATAAATGAAATGGCAGCATTTGTCTGGATTACGTTATAAATTAGCCTAGCTGTAAAGTTTCAATTTGCTACGTATTGTTTCCTCGTATTGGACATCGAGACCGAATTGTAATTTTAGCTAGGTAAATTTTGTGAACAACTAAGAGTAAAAGTTATCCGCCCGGGGTATTACAAAAATGGAGGTGCTAAAAGATTCTGAGGGACCACAGAACGACAAGACCGACGGTTAAGACTTTTGGCTCTGAGAGACAGATTTAGTAGTACTCGAGCCATCGCTAGTCAGTGGTTTGAATAGCATGGAAGGACGGTTGGTCTATCGCCGAATACGACAGTTTGGCTTTTTTCTTATCGCCCACATTGGGTGCTACCTCTCATAGCTGAACATTGGCGTAACCGTTTGCTCTAGTGTAGAGAAAGCATTCTTTGGGACCGGGAATGGAATCAGGTGGTCTTTAGTGACAAATCCCGCTTCCGTCTGGGGATGCGGGATGGTCGGGGAATAGTGAGAAGGCGACGTGGTGAAAGACGAGACCCACACCGTGGGAGTTATGGTATGGGGTGCCATTGCTTATGGTAGCAGATCACCAGTAATTTTCATCAGAGGCAATATGACAGCCCGACGCTATATTCAGAAAGTAGTGGAGCCTCATCTTATTCCATACTCCATCCAAAACCTGAATTTTCACCAAGACAATGCTAGAACGCATGTTGCCAGAGCATCGTTAGCCTTCATGGATCAACATCGCATCAACCGTTTACCTTGGCTAGTTAACAAAGCAAATTACAGCATATTCAGATTTCGTGCGTCATATTTTCTTGTGGGATATGAAAGTTTAATCATATTTCTCATAAATTTAAGGAGCTTGGTATTCTGTAGATTAAAGGTATGCAAAAATTCCACTCACTAACACTCACACATGTGTTAGCCATCAACCAACCACGATATGTGCATAAAAAGTTAGCACGATGTAGCGTCACAAATCAATCACAAAATTACACACTATTTAATTTTAAAAAGAGGCTTAAACTGAAACTGCAGGCTGAGGTCTGATGATGAACGCGAAATGCTGGGAATATGGACTATTTTCGTAATTGCTTACATTTTTTGTGTTGTTAATTAATTAGTTATCATTGAGTAATTTGCATACATTTTTATTAGTTCAAGATTATATTATGTATTTTTTTTTGTTCAAAGGTTGAGTTGAAAAATGCTGCTCTTAGCGACACTTCGCCTTTGTTGTACTTTTGTACGAAATAAAGCCCATTTATTATTATTGTTATTATTATAACAAATTCTGTGATGCTTAAGTGCTTAAGCATGCAGCCGATATCCCCTCTCTTCTACACGGATCTTCCTCCACATGAAAATCCACCCTTGTTGAAACCATCACCTAAATATTCCAAAAGATCTATCCGATATGCGAGTACACACGAACAAGAATACAAAAGCCTGAAAAATCGCCTTTTCTACGTATATTTACTTACAACTTTTCTCGCTGGTGGCATGTTACGGCATGAACTTATTCCACACCTTGTTATTCCCCGAGCTTCTACACGCCAGATAGCATCGTCATATCATTATATTGTCGTAAATAATGGGGGCTCAAGTGTTCCCCACATCTTTTCGTTTTTGTACGACTTTCAAAAGCCTCGCAGCATCCGCCGGGATAGGAAGTTTTATGTTTACATCATGTACCCAGGTAACGAGCATGTCTGTCTATGCGAAACAGGTATGAATAAGAACGGGGCATGCAAAGACTACTTATGCAAACTTCCATCCTATGGTTTCCCAGAGAAGCTTAGCAAGTTGGTGGCTGGCTTTCTATCTGGCATAGGGCTCCGACACTGTTCCACCACAGCTTTGCAGATGACAGCACTCTATATGCGGGATTTCAGAGTGACTAGCCTATCTGTGCCAGTGAGCTAAAGAAAAGAAGACTAACAGCAACTTCCTCTCTCACAAGAGACCTGTAGTTTATTATCACTGCTTGAAGGCGTAACAGTCTTGTACAGCTTAATGCTTCTAAAACAGTACACTGTACCTTGACGAAGAAAAAGCATCCTAGCGCTCATCCGGTTTCGATGAATGACCGAGTTCTGACAAAAAGCGGCTCATTTGGGCGGGTCGGAGTTCAGATCACCGAGGACCTGATCTGGCACGAACACATTTCGTACTTTTCTCCACATGACCGCCTCAATCTATACGTGGCCCAGATAAGACCTAGCTTCGAGTTTTGATCACATGTTTGGGGTGTTGTCGCTCCGACTACAATGACCATGCTCGATGCTGCTCAGAGGAGGGCTATCATTGTGGAACAGTCTACATGATTCGGCTTTTCCCAATTTTACTAACCTTAGACAGTTCAAAAATCGGATTAGTAAATTTTCTTTGGGATCCTAATAGCAGCCGCGGTGTCTTGGCATTTAGGCTTCTGCCTGCTCGGCTACTTCGGTGTAAAAAAATAACGAATATTGGCCATCAAGTTTAATGACCAAGTATATAACGACCAACAGATATTCAAATTCAAAATTTGGTTTATTACCTTTAAAATATCATAAAACCTACAGAAATATGTCACTTACCAAATGAAAAACCCATAGAAGGCATAGCCTTGTTCATGTGAATGTTTATATCTAGTACACACTATACTACTACTACATAAATATACCACTCTAATTAGTCATTTGAGCCCAGATTACAAAAATCCATAATACTGAACATTCAATTTACACCTTATAATATTAAAAGTATTACACAGATTATTTTCACTCTAGAAATTTCATGCAACCATTCCTAGTTTTCTTTTAAATATACCTAACGAACTGGCGTCTCTGACTAAGCCGCCTTTTCATAATATGTATATGTATATTCTTCAATATTCTGAACTGGAGTACGGTATACTTCGTTTTACAAGTATTCCCATAAAAATAAGTCCAGAGGATTCAGATCGAGTCCGTGGAGGCCATGCAATTGGTCCCCCCTGATCCAGCGTATCTTGTATACGTGATTCAGACGAGAAGCCGCTTGCGAATTTTGCCCTGCTTCTCCGTACGCTAAAACAATGTCCACTAACTCCTCATTAGTGTACACATGTGCCATTCTTATTAATAAATAAGTAAAAACATAAACTCGTAGAATACTTATTTAACTTCACAAAAATCGATCGTTCTTCATTCAGATCACCCACGATATAGATTAAACCTTATTTACACGTTCTTATCAGTATGAAAAACAAAAAATTCCTGGTATTTTTTTTTCGTCAATTGTTTGGTACATTTGCGACAAT